ATCTGCAAATAATAAAATAAAATTAAAAAAGAAAGTTATAATTACACATTCTATTCATTCAATGGTAGCTATGTAATATTAAATTTACAGTACTCTCATATAATTTATTTAAAAAATGTGCATGTATGTTATTAATATAATCATTGCAATATATATTTATAAAAATATGAATTCTAAAGAAGATATAATAATCAGCAACATATATAACATTTTCTCTCTTATGACATTTATATAAATGAATATATTTGTAACTAATCTCTCTAAATATGTGTGGACGAATCCTTCTATAAATTTATTTGTACAACACGAGTTTTATATGATGCTATATATAATAAATATTCTTTTTTCCATTTTGATGATGGCAGGTTAATAGGTAGTGTTAATTTACAATTGTGAACATTTCATCTGGTATTACCTATACCTAAATCTCTATATTATAATTTATAAGGATTAATGGATTATTAAAAATATCAAAGAGTTCTGTTAGAGCTTTGTTACAATTTGAAGATCTATGTGCACCACAAGGCACTGATTGTAAAACATAGATACTAATGAAAGTCTCCTAATTCTATAATTTTATTTAATTCTTTCTATATAATTCATGATGATTACAACCATATACTATTTCAAAAATGGATAAAATAAATAAAAAAATTTTTAGCGGATTCACATTTCAAGTATCTTTAAACTTATAACAAGTTTAAGATAAAAATACATTTTCGAACATATATAAGCATTTAAGACATACAAACCATTATATATATATAATGGTTTGCGTGTTTTTAAATGTTTATATATATATGTTCAAAAATGTATTCTTATCTTAAACTTGTTATAAGTTTAGAGATACTTGAAATGTGAATCTGCTAAAAATTTTTATATACATATGTGTAAAATCTTTGTTGTGCTTTCTAACATTTGCATAAATAAGACAAAATAATAATAATTTCATATCTTTATGAGATCCACATTCCAATTTCATATATCATCTTATGAATAAATTATTATACAATATACCTTATAATAAAGAATGCATGTAAACAAAATTGGACATTATCGCATACATTACTTATCACTAGAATGCAGAGTTTGCGAGATGTTGAATATTTATCATATTGAGATAAAAAATTTAAAATGCGTTGTTTCCTTAAAAACACTAATAATAAAATAAAAGATTTTGTTTAAATTTAAACGATAGATGCGATAATAATTATACGCGAATTGTATTTCAATAATGCCTGCCTAGAAATATTATTAATGTCATCAAAGAGACAGCACATCTCGGACTATCCAAATAAGATGTCTTATCATATCATATCTCATAATTTCCGTACTCTACTTATAACCAATTATTTTTTCGAACATTTGTGCAGTACATAATCTGTATTGAGAATTGAAATATTTTGACATATCTGAGGTATTCTTCATAAAAATATAATCTCTTCGCTATATATTATCTTGACATCTATATCATTTCTTCATAAGTATTAACAATCAGTTCTATTTACAGAAATATAATAGTATTGAAAAAGTAAATATTATATATACAATATAACTGTTTTTATATTAAAGAAGTTAAGACAGAAGATTCAACAAGAAATCAAATTAACAGCAGAAAAATAGAAAATTAATTCAAAAAATTGGCAGCGAAAAAAATTTTTAAATTAATTTGATATTTATAAACAGAAATAAAGATAACTTACGTTTGTTTCGATAAACTTGATTGATTTGAAACAATTACGCTCCTTTCGCGAGATAAATCGTTTAATGGTTGAGAATCTTCTTGAATAGATTGAGGATATTTTTGATCAGGATAGTTCCATGCTTGTATGTCCGCTGTACCAAACAGTTGATAAGCAATATACGTGCTGCAGGATACACCTGCGGTAACTGCAAATACTTTTCTCCATGCATCGAGAGATTGCTATTAAAAACATTATATTGTTTTTTGTATTACATTATATTGCTTTTACCTCACACTATATTTTAATCCTAATGGACAATATAAAAAAAATAAAAAAAAAAGAATGATACTTACGCTTTCTTGTGTAAGCAGACCAGCTGCTATAGGAGATAGGAAACTAGCGGTCATGTGAATTGTCTGTGCGAACGCCAATACCGGCCCTAAAAAAGTATATCGATTTATAAATATTGAAATCCCTGTCAAATAAATGTATTCATGAAAATTGCGCATACTTACCAGCGAAATTGGGTGCGATATCGACAATATTAGCCATTGCACCCGCGTAACCAGCTGTTATGAGAGTAACAGCTAGAAACCATACAATTAAAACGAGAATAATATTACAACCTAAGTACCCAATTAAGACTACGAGGATTCCAGGAACCACTTGAGCTATAAGGAAAAAAAAATGATTACATGTAATTCACATACAGAGTTTCTACATATTAAATAAAAAAACCAGCAAATGGACTTACATAGCGCAGTAAATATCTTACGCACAGTAATTAAAGTCATGATTTGCCGCGTAACTAGGAGATCTGCGACGTAGCAAAATACAACAGAACTTAAATAGCTACAGATAAAAGGGGCACCTGACAGGATACCATTCTAAAAAATAAATGTTATTCATCCATCTCTGATATATAAATATTATATTGATAAAATAAAAACAAAGATTTTTTGGATAATGAATGCATACTGCCTGTATACTGAATCCTAATACCGTCTTCATGTACATTGGGCCGGGGATAATAAAGACATAATGTACCCAAATTCTTCCAAAGGTTGTGATACCGATAGCCCATGCTGGCCAAGACGTGAGTATAGATTTCCAGGGAACAGGCATATCCTTTAACATACATATTAAATAATATATTAGCGCGCTTGTTCGCATAAAGAAGACATCATCGGATAATAGATATATATATTGCCTTACCTCGTTTGCTCCAATAACTTGGTTTCTAACACATTCCTGAATGTAACGGAGTTCCAGCTTAGATATTCTGGGATGCGAAGCGGGAGTATCGAAGGCGCAGCAGTACCAAAAGATGCACCAAACGAGGCCGATGCTACCAGTCGTGTAGAACACGGCCCTCCATCCAAAATGGACGATGATAAATGCGCACAACGGGTAGGTCAATCCAATGCCGATGCTGAACCCTGAATATAGATAATCTAGATGTTAGGCGTAGCTCACCCTACGAGCCGGAGGAAAGCTGAAACATGATGCTTGTCGAATGGCCTTCGGTCTTGGTTTGTTACGACACTCATGCGTGGTGATGATTGCTCTTCAGTCACGATGTATGTATTTCATCCTGTAAAGCGATTCAAGTAAAACTTATTACGCGGGGACGAGGATGAACATGATGAAGCTGTTAATGGTGGGACAATGAAACTTCTATATCTGCAAATAATAAGAGCATAAACTCGTTTTACCTGCAAGATGAGTGTCACTCTTCTTACACAGAGAGCGGTATTTAAAAAAAGTATAGTGTAAATAAATGAAAAATTAATGATATGAAATAATGTGCATACGCGTATAAGTTGAAAGAAGCAGATTTTTATTTTCTATAACATTCTAGCCATATTAAATAAATGTAGGACATAACACGTGTTAAAATAATTTGTCGTTAATATAAGAATACTTTTAATATTACAGAATCCCTTACACCGTGCATTTAGTTAACATTAAGTAATAACGTTTATTCAATGGAGATTTATTCAATACGAGTCTCAGTAAAGATGTACATATTATTTTGTAGAGCACCTGTCGCGTGTTAGCAGCAATAGAGTTTAACAATCAGTTTAGATATTTGGATTAGTAAACAAGCATAGAAAGATAAACGCGTTGTATCAGAAATATACGAAACAAAGCTTGTGGTCCGTCTCTGAGAAAATTTGAGTGAGAAAGATGATTAGATTAGATTAGCTCGTACTGCAAACTGGACATAGCCAAAAGATAGAAGTGATATATATATATATATATATATATAAGAGACAAGTATATATATACAATAATATATTTGACGAGCCCGGTTGATTCTACCAGCTGGAAGTATACTCGGCCTTTCTCATGCTGTTGAGCGGTCGCTGTTGAGTATACCCCTCGGTCCGGCGAATGCAACCTCGTAGAGATGAACTATTCAGGATCATTAATAAGCGATCAATTCGCGCAGATCAATGCGCGCATCGTTTATATAAAAAATTATTCTCATTTAATAACAAATTATATTCTTGGTCCGGAATTTTGACTGAAACAATAATGTAGTATAAAATAATTGCTTCTCATTCCGTATTCCATTCTGAAAGAAGCGTGCATTAGTATTCGGAAACACAATTAAAAGGAAGTATGCGACTTTCATTTTACGATATTACATTTGCGACGCAATATGACGGAACGCATAGCTTTAGCTTAATTTTGCCATATCGAACGTATTGAAGTTTCACTGTAACACATGAAAATCTCTGTTAGCGGCTGACATTTGATAACGTACCTTGAAAGGAAGACATGAAGCGTGAACGTTCTACAGGTGGAATCCAGTGTCCGATTACGGCATACATTGCGGGCCATGTGAGTCCCTGTTTTTACAAGGAAAGATAAATACAAATTACCAAAATCTACCCCAAACAATATAAATATAAACAATATAAATATATAATAATATAAAACAAACAATATAAATATATAAATCCAAGCAATTAGAAGATCTCAAAAATTTGCAACATCTTTTAATTGTCTATATTTTAGATATTTACATTGTCTTTGAATATAACCGTAAAATTTTTTGTGATTCTATTCGATGATTACATAAAGACTTACACTTGCGATGCCTTGTATACTGCGCAACGCTATCATTGCCCCGTAATGGATCTCCGCGGCAGTTGGCATAAGAAGGCTGCATACGGCAGTAACGATTTGAGATCCGCCGAATATGGTTTTAGTGCCGAAATATTGAGTAAGAACACCACCAAGCATTTGCGATAGTATATAACACCAGTAAAAGGAGCTGAGAATGGCTGATTGAATAGCTGGGCTCCACTCGAACTCGCCATCCTCCTGTTCATAAGAACGACATATGACTTTGTATTGCTTATGCGCAAAAATCATTTCGTTAATTGCAACAAGTTTGCATTAAATGAAGTAACTTTTCACCGGAAGTTGTGATTGGATTTCTTTAATATTTAAAGAAAAATATAGTGATCTAAATCTTCACAAGATTTCTATTATTTGCATAAAAAAATACTGCAGGTATTGAAGTCTATAATTTTTTAGAAAAAATAAGCGTTATTTTTAAATTAACAATAAGATCTCCCATTTGCTGATTTTTTCGCCATGATATTATATAATTGCAATAATCTCTTAAGGTCATTACAAAAATTTATTTAAAATGTCATGATTCCCGGATGACAAATAGAATAAATGTTATGATTATTTATTCCATTTTGTCAAATTTAAAATAAGACTCATTGCGAATACATCTCTTGCAATTAATCACACATTTCCATCTTACACATTATAACAACAAAACATGCATAAAAAACCTGCTAATCCTTGACATTTAAATATTGCGTATATACGAATGTTATTCGAACTTCAGCACAGAGTCGAGACTCTATCACTTTTTCTCTATCACATATAGATTATATCTATTGGTTCATGATATTTATATGTTCATTAATTTTTCAATAATTATTTAATTATTCAATAATTTCCAATATTTCCAATATTTAATAATTTTTTAAATAATTATTTAAAGTATTTATTTTCGCGTTATTGGAACTTTTTATTTTCTTTACATTACTCTATTTATATGTATATAAAACTACACAAAACTACACACCTTAAAGAAATTTTGTGTGCTTTTGATGACACGCGCATGAAATGTATTTACATTATATTGATGATGTGGACGATGACAATGGTACCTGCGTCGTATTCATCGTACTCAAACAGATTGTCGTGACGTTAATCGTGCAAGTCATTATGCGAAGTATCCCGACCTGACTGAATAAACATTACGCGCGTATGTTTCATTTCTCATTTAAATACAACTTAAACTTGAAAAAAACAATTTATGGAAAAAGTTTGAGAAAAATGATTCCGTTATCGCTGGAAATGAATCATCGTTTTTTTAAATATTGTACGCAACGAACGATGCGCACGTGATAGAAAAAAATTATGCTGTTACAATTAGTAATTTATCTCATTATTGCAATACTTGTATAAGCATACCTCCGATCTAATTACACTGGTATTTTCCACGTGTGACGCATTCGACATTGTGTAACAATGGGACGTTACCGCGATGGTTTCATTCGATGTTGACGGTATTTTCGCCATGGCCACCATAGCGATGTTGATATCCGTTCTCATCATGAAAGACACGAGGAATCCGGAAAACGAGAGCATATACAGTACGACCCGTGCTGGTATCATGTCTGCAATCAGAAAGTCCGTACGTGTGATTATCAGGGACAACGACATATTCATCATAGGTACCAATAAATTTGCACTAGAAAACGAATTCATAGTAGCATCAATCGCCATATTTCAATTTTTTTTTAAGAAAGAAGGCTTCTCTCTAAATCATGTTATTATAAAAAAGGACATTACCTCCTAATCTTCGTAAACTGCAAGGTGGCCGTTCTTTATACATATCAGATTCCTCATACCTGTAAAATAAAATAAAGTGTAGGATAAGATAGAATCCGTAGCACAAAGACGATTCAATCGTAAGACGCGTTTCAAGAGATAAATAACATCTTTAATATACTTGATAGTCAGTTTGCTTAATTTGACTCTAATCTATGTGTGAGAAGAAAGATAATGGGAAATATGATGAAATAATCATAACACACATTTCGTAAAATATATGATGAGATTAAGTTTTTCTATCCAGAAAATATTTGTGTAAGTAAAACAAAAAGATAAGGCGTCCTAAAACAACAGATTCCTTTTCATAGCAGATTCTTTGGCCAATTTAGAATCGATTTTTTTTAAGGAAAAATGTCGAAACAGGTCATCATTTTTTTACAAGTTTTCAATTTTTTCTATTATATATTTCTGTGTATATATTTATATATTTCTGTGTATATAACTAAGCTTCAAGTTAAAATTTTATTAAACTAAATTTCATCTGTAATTAAAAATATAGAAATAAAGAATGTAATTTTGTTGATGTATTGACTCTCCACAAAATTTAGTTTGTGAAAAACCCTTTTTTTTTAATCGTTTTCAATTCGAAAACTGTTAATGTCTGGACATTTTCGCTAAAAAAATTCTTTCCAAATTGGAATTCAGAGAATCAGTTAGAAAAAAATATTTAGAAATTTTGAAACACTCTATATATTACATAAAAATACATAAAAATAGTTGATAAAATGGTTAATAGTGCAGAATGTGTATATATAGGTAAAAATAGGAGATATGTTATCAAATATGTTTCTTCACCTTTGAAATTCTTCCATTTTTTGTACGGATACAGTTGTTTGAATAAAGTATACGAATCTTTTGTGCGAAGTGAAAGCACAAAGATCACCTCGGATTCTGTAAAACAGAGAGAATTCATTTAATTTAATAATCATTATTTTATAGAAGAAAATCGTACGTGGCGTCTATGAGCTTTCGCGTTGGCCAACGTATAATATGGCGTCAATAAGCTTGCAAGGTATTCAAAGTATTGCGAGGTCATGACTTATGAGAATAAGATGAAATTCCTACGCGGAATTTATATCGACATTCTTGAAGCTCTTCGTGTATGGAAGTCTTCACAAAAATTTATTTATGAATACCATATTCATTAAGAACAAAGAAGAGAAAAATTAATTTTATGAAAAAAAATTGCATACTTAGCTTTTTATACACATAAGAGGTTGTGAATAAATGGTTGTGGTTTAATTATCGTGCATGTCGCAATTATAATTTTGCGCAAATACTAACAACAATGCATCTCTACAATAGCATGAAGCAATCATTTAAAGTTTTTATTCTATATTTTATTTTTGAAGATTGTCTTTTAATTTCGATTATTTTCATTGTTGCATAAAGTTCTTTTTATATGATCATCGCATGTCTGCACAATGTCTAGCATAAAATATCGTTTAAAGATCTTTGTTCCTTTTTGTTATGCATATAAAATCTTTGTAGGCTATAGATTTTACAGAATCATCAGCATAATTATCTATATCATATTATTTACTAAATTAATTTTAATTATTTTTCATTTGTAATATAATTCAATATCGATTATATATTATATAATTAATAATTAAATGTGATATTAATTAATTATATATAATATATACGTAAAAATTATCAAATTATCATACATTTTCTTCTAATCAAATTTGTAAAAATATTTATTAAAGGAAAATTTGTGATTATTCTGAAACACTCTTTATAAGCACGTCGTGATAAACAGAAAAGAATCGAATGCATCGAATTATAGTCAGCAATCTTCTGATCCATATCGGCGATATATTCAAATGAAACGTTTAGCTGATCTCTGTATAAAAATATAAAGCATAGGCACGATTAGGATTGCACATAGGATATTATATTTCCGCAAGAAATTATTGCCATCAAATGAGAAATGTACGCATGACTTATGCAAAATTAATTCATGATAAAGCTAGATATTGAAGATATTCGATGACCATACAAAAAGAACTTTATGCATTCCGGAATATTTTTTATCTAACAATAAGTATGGTTCCATATTTTATGTCTCGTCATGGTATTATGTAAGCTTTTCAATTAATAGTAGATAGAATCAAACACTCTGATCGTGTATTAGCACAAAAACTGAGCACCTTACAACTTGAGGTGCAATTACGGTGTCTTTCATCATATTTGCATATCTCAAGGTAAAACGCTACATAAAACTTTGTGAATATAAATCGTAATAACGAATAATAAAAAAAAAATAAAGAATACATTATTTAACTGTGCATGATTGGAAGAAGCGACACTTCTATGCAAAAACTATTTGAATCTTGATTTAAAAAGTTAAACTTTTAGTTTGTGTAGAAAAAACTGCAATATTAATATTATTTTCATTTTTTAATGTCAGAGATAAAACAATTTTAAGATGCAAACAACAAGACACTTTCTAAAATTTGATATATGATACATTGATATGTGTGAGATATAAATAGTTTATAAAAATTAATATAATAGATTTGTTTAGCTTCTCCATGAAATATTCATATTTTCAAGACTGTATCCCTTTAAATACAATATGTTGCAATTATTATTATATTTCCATCTTCTTTTTGTTTGATTGCAAAAAAAATTAATGATAAGCCAAAATGTGATCAATGGCATTAGCATAACTCATTATCTCCATTTTTAAAGAATCATGTTGAAGATGGAGTAAGAGCAATGCAAAAATAGCAACATATTATTGTAACTTCGTAATAAATGTAATCTGCTAGCAGTGATGAACAGGAAATTTTGCAACATCAACATTTTCTTCGCTTTCCGAGTCATATCATGTCGAATATAAAACGACCTTGATATATATACAGATAATAGATAATGAAATTAAACAAGTCACAAATTCGCTTATAACAAATGAAAAAGGTCATAATGTCAACATTGTCGTCGTGTCCGAAGTGTCACTTACGTCAAAAATAAAGCTTGGAAATACGTGGAGAAACGCGATTACAATTTCACGAGATACGATAAATGCGACTCGAAACATGCAGTGAACGAAAGAAATCGCGATACAATCGACACGATTGCAGACCGAATGAAATGCCGGCACTGAAAGGCACAACCGGACCACGAGGCGTTGACTATCTTTATGACCCCACCATTGCGCCGGTTTTCGATCGTGCTCTTGGTACAGTTCGAGACGAGAATATTATACCTATTATGAGTAAAACATGATATAGTATAAAACGTGGCACTTTTCAGCGGTTGATTATAGTTAATTACAAAACTAATGATTCATTCAAAATTTTTTCGTATAAGAAAAAAAATGAAATATTATATCTAATGGGCCAAAAAATAGCTACCAGTGTATATTTACATCTAAAAATTAAATTTGCGTAGTTTTTTTAGTATTCATTTTATATTAAAATAAATTTATGCTAATTATCTTGTAATAAAAGCACCAAAACATAATTGATTTTAATTTTTCAAGTGATTTCTGTATAATGTGATAAATAAGTGGTAGTGAAGTGAACAATTATTACATCACAACTGGTAATAAATTGCTAAAAACTCTGGGTCATTATATTTCAATTTATTCTAAAGTCATTAATATTGATGGAGTCTACAGAAGATATAACTACAAAATAATTAGTACTTACCTAAGAGAATGACATTCAAATGATCATTTTATATAAGAATAAATTGAAGTGATGTATGTGATAACTCAGGCATTACATCAGTAACACGGTTAATTGAACTTATGTAGCAATAGATAAAGCTCGAAAAAATTACTTAGAGAGAAAAATATATTCTGATTTGCAAGAATGATATTTAATTAGGAAATATTATTCACTAATATTATGAATTATTAAGTCTTTTCGTGCGAATTATTAAAATTTATTAAAATTATTATTTATCTTACACACAGCGTGTGTATGTCGATAAAGTTGTCGATACAAAGCACATTACACATACTCGTTATAAATTATTTCTTGGGACATTCTTAAGCGTATTCTGCGGTGAAACATAGAGGCCACGTTTCTTGATCGATCAATAGTTCGTGTCATATTATAACTAGGCAAATGATGATTCTTAATGCATGCTTTGATTGACCCTACAAGTCTTAGAGTATCTTTTAATATACATATAAGTTATTCTTTATGATAATATATGACAAAGAAATATTAATATATATATATATAT